GAGGTTGGTATATCTCTTAAAGTTAGTTAATGCTTCTTGATTGATGGCTGTTCCTTTCAATTTTCTATATCGATACCTGTTGACTGACTCTCTCTTGGTGTATGTATATGAATTATTTGCTTGTTTTCTTGTCCTTGTATGCTGTGCCTTAGAGGGAAGAAGGGGAGTGGTTCAATTTAGTGGGGATGGCCATGTTTTAGTATCATTCTTTTGCTTCTTGTGATTATATAATATTCTGCTGTTGTCAAGTGTCCTGTTTATATTTCTTATTGTTCTCTCCTCTTTACTTTTTAAATATCTTTTATATATGTTTCATAGGTCGACAGTATGTTAGGAAGACGTGAGAACCCTGGAGAACATGAAGCAATGCGCAAAATGAAAAATGAATTTATGGTGAACTGGGATGGTTTGCGTACAAAAGATAAGGAACGTGTACTAGTACTTGGAGCAACCAATAGACCTTTTGATCTTGATGAGGCTGTAATTAGAAGGCTTCCCCGGAGGTCTGTCCTTTTCCAAATTCATAGCTTCTGCAGTACTCATCCTCTGTGAAACCCCCAACAAACAATTTTTTAGTAAATAGACAATTAGGAGTAACTCTCATGTGGTCATTTTGTTTCTAAGTGCAGGCTGATGGTGAACTTGCCAGATGCTCAAAACAGGGAGAAAATTTTAAAAGTGATATTAGCCAAGGAAGAGTTGGCTCCAAATGTTGATCTTCAAGTAGTTGCTAACATGACTGCAGGGTATTCAGGTAGTGATCTAAAGGTACGTGGCCTGTATTACTTGTTATGTTAAAATTATTTTTTGTCATCACCATTTCTTCTAATGGTTGCGATTCGTCTGTTTTTACATGTTAAATATATTCATTTTCCAGAATCTCTGTGTGACGGCTGCACATTGCCCAATAAGAGAAATTTTAGAGAAGGAGAAGAAGGTTGGTACAGTTTATCTGTATCTGTTTATCATTTAATCTCTCTAGTTTAGGCAGAATTTTTTCTGTCAAAGCTCTCTCTTTTTCTGGAATCATCTAAGTAGAGCTTGAGCATTTTTTTTTTCTTCTCTCTTTCTTTTCTTTTGAAAGCTTTGTGCTTTATGTTAGATCTTCATCTAAAACATGCTGATGTTTTCGTTCTATATTATTATTCATATCTGGCTGTTTTAATAAAACTTTATCTGCTAACCTGTAGGAGAAGGCCTTGGCACTTGCAGAGAACAGACCATTGCCTGAATTGCATAGCAGTGCAGATATTCGTCCCCTGAGTATGGATGATTTTAGATATGCACATGAACAGGTATGTATGTTTGTTTGCAATAGGAAATTTTGTTACTTCTGTTTTTGTCAGTGTACACGTGCCGTACTTGGTGAATGTAATCTTTGCTTTTTCTTGTTAATCAACAGCAATTTGCTGTTTATGTATGATAGGGGGAATGAAGAATTTCTCTAGGCACGATTCTTTTATATTGTTGATTATAAACTTTCCACTAACCTGAGAAAGGGCCAAAACTGGAGTTTTTGATTTCTTTTAGAAGTGAATGAGAGGGAAAAGAGGCCTGCTGGTATCTGGTCTTGTGGGCAAAATTGCCTTGAAGTAAAGAACTTATTGGTTGTTATATTGGCAAAAAATAAATTTCTATTAATGACCTTATGTTGCAACCTGTAGTCGTCTTTCTTGCTCAGTTTTGCTTGCTTGTGAGGGCCTGGTGAAGTTTTCTTGTGAATGTTGGTGTCTTTCTTGACTTTGTACATGTAATTTATTTGTTGCTGCGAAAATATTCTGTGTTTCTGATTTGCCGCTGTGAGTAATAAGCTTTATTTGATAGGTCAGTTCTCGATATCTGTCACTACAGATTATGTTAAGACATTTAAATATTTTCTATGATGCATGGATGCTCCTACTAGGGTGGTGTGTGTGATGTGTTGTATCATGCCAGATTCTAGGAAATGTGCTTGACATGCCACGTGACTTTTGTTCAACACGTGCAAAGAGCATGTGTTTGACTCATAAGGGCACAGTCAAATTTCGTAATAAGAAATTTTTAATTATTAGAACATTTGTCTGAAAAGTCAGAATAGTCTATGAACTTCATGTTGAACTTCTACTTTATGCATTTTTCTCTTTTTTTTTTTTTTTTTTTTGGGGGGGGGGGGGGG